ATGTTGACGGTTGCAATTAAAAGGGAATAGAAGAAGTATATATTATGTGTGCCACTTTAGAATAATCAACTCATACTCACTCATTGAAAGTTTGAGATACATAAATTATTTTCCACCTATTTTACACGTGATCGGGTTTTAATTTGGGGTAATTTGAGTTTGCACCCCATATTGTTGTCCAAATTGGACTTTTCATCCCGTTTTTAAAAATATTTGTTTTTTCACCCCAATCTCATATGAAAAGACAAAAATGTCATCGATTAGGAATATGTTGAAGGCCAACATAATTTTTTATGGAGGGGACATTTTTATCTTTTCACGTGGGGTTGTGATGCAAAAACAAAGATTTTAAAAAACGAGACGTAAAGGGGGTGTTTGTTTTTTGGCGGTTTATCGGCTGTTCAGCGTTTCAGCGTTTTTGACCGTCAAAACCGCTGCTTTTATGCGTTTGGTAATCAGAGGGTGGGAATAGCGGCTGAGATGAAACCGCTGAAAACCAAAACGCTGGGATTTGGAGCGTTTAGGTTTCGGCGGTTTGGAATAATCGCTGAATTCACCTGTTTGCCCTTTCTTCTTCCTAAAGAATTCATCTTCCTAATTTTTCCGTTCACTGCTTTCCCTCCTCAGCAGAGCAAGACAACACATTTATCTCTCAGTGAATTCACAGGGCAGCCGCTGTCAAAGGTACGTGAGTATTGCTGTGATTCCTAATTCTTTCGTTTCACCTCTCCTCTAGAACAGTTCTTTGGGATCTTACTTTGATTTCCATGAGTATTGCTATTTGTGAATTCATAGATATGTAATTCTCTGGAGTGCATGTTTATACTTTTTCAAGGATTACAAACGATCAGTATTTTGGAATAATTGTATGTGTTTGCTCTTCTAAATATTGTATCATATATTCATATTCGTTGTGAACATCTTCCCTCTTGAAAAGTGTATTACATCTACTTAATACAAATAACAACAACCAGTATAGAACAGGTCTTATACTCTGTATATGTACATAGTTCCCAGAGATTCCTCTGACCAATAAATTATAGAACAAGCTTAATAAAGATAAGAAGGAGAAACAAAACAAAATTTTTCAGCATAACAAACAATCTGCCCTTAAACATCATATGCTATAAAGATATATCTGCCCCTAAACATCAGACGCTCTAAGTAAATACTCTGTATGAATTATATATAAACTGAGCAACCAACAAATAAAAACATACATAGTGTAACAGTTTGAAACTAGGAGTCTGTTAAAAAGAGGTCTAGAACCAGAATGATGAACACCAGCTACTGGATTTTTGAAACTATCAGTTGGGGTAAAAAAGAAGTGGAGGACACTAATGATCTTTGTGTTTATATATGTATATACTCTGTATATACATATACACCCAGTCTAAAAACTGAACTAAAAACTTTGTATTCACCCAGTCTTCATTTAAATTTCTGAGTAGTTTCCACTTAAATATGCGATCATGATCAATATAATAGGGTATCTTATGTATTATTATTTAAACTAATTTGTTTTGAAATAATATTTTAATAATAATATTGTATTAAACTATTAGTTTTTCAGTCCAGTTTATCTTTTACTATTGAATACATATGCATATTTTGTAGTATAACTTTGCAAATGTTTTAGTGATTATGTAGAAGTTTTGGTTAAACATAAAGCTTTAAGCATGCTAAAAATATCTTTACCATTTTTAATTTATAGATGACCCTAACGCAGAAGAAAATTGTAGAAGGAAGTCGAGGAACTCAAATGGAGAAGGATGAAAGTCATGGTGGGAGGGTTAATTGGACTAAAGAATTACTTCATTTGTTTTGTGATCTTTGTATTCAATATGTAGACATAAGTAAGGAGGAAAATGGTGGAATTGTTTCACAAAGGTTGATGTGGAAAAAAATTGAAATGGAGTTTAAGAGAAAAACTAACCTACCATGGGATAAAAACAAACTCAAAAATAAGATTGATTGGATGAGAGATAGATGGACTTTATGGAAGCAATTGAAGTCCAAAGCTACCGGATTAGGGTGGGATCATTTAAAGGGAACTATTGAGGCTACTGATGAATGGTGGGCATTAAGAATTGAGGTTAGTGTCATTTTATTTTAATTTATATTTTTAGTTTATTTAGTTCATATACTTAAAGTGAGGTAATTTTAAAATTTTATATATTTTTATTATAGGAAAATCAAAAGTTGGAACAATTTAGAAAAGAAGGAATTGAGCGAGAGCTTGAATGTAAATTCGAACAAATATTTGGGAGTTATGCGAATGGGAATCTTAAGTACACCCCAGTATGTAATATGCCACAACAAACTTTGCAAGATGGAGTTTGTGACATGTCTGTTCTGTCTCCACCTAATACCCATATTCCCCATGTTAGCGTTGATGAGATGCATGAGAACTACTACGGGGATAATAACTCTGCGAGAAATGAGTCTTGGAATGATATGTGGAGAAATCTTAGCCCTAGCCCTACCTCTGCTCATGTAGCTCCCTGTGATGATACTTATATAGAAAGGGACATCACAAAAAAAGGTAAGAGAGTTTTGGAGGGCGACTCGTCTCAAAACACTAAGAATGCAAAAGCAAAAAAAGGTGCGGCTTCAACTTTTCAAGAAATGTTTAGTGGTATGATGCAAAAATTTGAAGCGAGAAATAAAGTTGTTGAGGAAGTTGCTACTTCAGTGAAGAACATGACTAACGCGAATATGAGTGTTCTAAATTCAATGGATGCTCATACGTCAAAGTATAGTATTGAAGATGCTATGGCAAAGTTGTGTTGTTTACCCGATCTTGATCCACTTGCTCCTGAGTTTTTATTTGCTTGCTCACTTTTGGAGGATCCCCAAAAGAGGACTATTTTGTTCAACTTACCGCATGATGATAGTCGAGTTGCCTATATTCGGTTCATGTATATTGAGCATAAGAAAAGTGCGACTATTTAGACGTTTAGACATTTAAAACTTCTTAAGTTGGACATTTAAAACTTCTTGTGAACTTCTTTTTGTTATGTGATCTAAACCATTCGGTTCAATGTTGTTATCAATTATAACTTTAATTTTAAATGTTTACCTTTATATTATACATATTTGATTGTAGGTGTTCATGGCTAATTACGACATGCGAAGTAGACAATTCCTTCTTCTATTTCAGCAACAATATATCTTATGCCAACAATACTTTGAAATAGAGAGTGAAAATCTGGACATGATGACTTCTATGGTAGCATATATGTGTGACTACTATTTTAAAAACATATACAAGGAACCGTGCATGACGTCTTATTTGACTGGAGAAAGATGGATGAATGAGGTATTAAATGGCCATGAAAAACGATGTTTTAATGCATTTAGAATGACCCAAAATACATTTCGCAATTTATGTGCGGATTTAGAGACCAAATACGGTTTAAGGCCTTCAAGTAGGGTTTCAATTTTGGAGAAAGTGGGTTTGTTCGTTTATGTACTAAGTAAGAGTGCTTCCAATAGAGATACCCAAGAACGTTTTCAACATTCTGGTGAAACTGTGAGTAGAATTTTCAAAGAAGTTTTGAATGCCATGGATGGACTTTGTCGTGACATACTCGTCCCAAAGGACCCCGACTTCAAACGAATTCCCTCACAAATTGCCAATGATGATAGATATATGCCACATTTTAAGGTAAATGCATAATTGATTAAACATGATGAAATATTATGAAGTGAGAATATTAATATAATCATGTTTATTGAGTTATTATATTAGGATTGTATTGGAGCTATTGATGGTACACACATTGTAATAACCGTACCTGAGGAAGATCAAATGCGCTATCGAGGAAGAAAGGGAATACCAACCACGAATGTTCTAGCAGTTTGTGATTTTGATTTGCTATTCACATATGTTCTAACAGGATGGGAGGGATCAGCACATGATTCACGCATATTCTTAGACACAGTGAACAATTCAAGCCTTAATTTTCCAAAGCCACCTCCTGGTAGGTCACTAAAATTTATTTTTTCTTACATACCATATATCATTTAATTTACAATTTTAATTTTAACTATACTTGTTGCTTTTATTTTCTTAGGGAAGTATTACTTGGTTGACAAAGGCTATCGAGAAAGATATGGATACTTGACTCCGTACCCTAAGACACGATACCATCAATCAGAGTTTCGTGGATCAAGACCAAGAGGTTCACGAGAAGTATTTAATCGAGCACATTCATCCTTAAGAAGTTGTATTGAGAGAGCGTTTGGTGTTCTTAAGGCTCGCTGGAAGATATTACAAAAAATGCCAAATTATTCATTGGTGGATCAAAACAGAATTATATGTTCATGTTTTGCATTACACAACTACGTAAGAAAAAGCAAACTTGATCCGGCTTTTGATTTCATTGATGAAGATCTTGAATTTATACCCCCTGACGTTATTCCAGATGTTCAAGCTAGTACTACACAAGTTGATGATGGAATGAGAAATCATCAGATGACGATCATTCGTGATAGCATTGCTTCTAGTTTGATGTCATAAGGATTTTATTCTTAATATTACAAATATTGCAATTCACCGTATTATTTTTTTAAGAACTGTATTACTTCTCAATATTGGTGTAGTTAATTGATGCATTTCATTGTCATACTTTTATCTAGTCAATTTTAAAATAATTTACTCCCGTATATTATGTGTTTATAAATTAGTAAAGTCATAACTTCGTATTAAACAAAACAAAAAAACATGCAAAATTTTTAAAATGTCCTTTTTTGTGTTTTTACATATTATCCGCTACAAGCAAACAGCTAAGTTACCAAACACCTTTCTGCAATCCGCCAAACTAATCCGCTGGTCAAATCCGCTGATTCAATCCGCCATTTACTACCCGCTAACCAAATCCGCTAACCGCTAACCGCTAACCGCTGAGTGCCAAATAGGGCCAATTTGAACAATAAAATGAAATGAAAATTCAAAGTATCCCTTTTAATTTTAGGAAAAATTGATGGTGATTAAGAGGGTAAACTGCCGGAGGAAACCGCAAGGGTATCGAGAACAAAATTAATCCTACAGCAATCATGCTCCGATTTCTCCCCCACTCCCTGAACGCTCCATCGACGGTGTTCCCTCGTCTATTCACCCGCCTTCGCCGATCAAATTCCAACAGCTCCGGCGGTGGAGAAGATGACGTCCCACTCCCACACCTCATTGAGATTGACTTGGACTCCTCAACAACGGACCCGAATTTCGCCGCCTCTTCGGATCCCACCATCGACAGGATTCATAAACTGGATGATGCCATACACACGTTCATCTTGCGCAGATCTGCTCCAGATTGGCTCCCTTTCATCCCCGGATCCTCATACTGGGTCCCTCCTCGCCATTTCACTGCACCCCGGCCGCTCAACATTGTTGATGTGATCCGCAAGATCTCAGCTGCTAAAACAAATCGTCCTTCTCTTTCTGAGGATGAATTGATGGCTTCCTTCTCCTCAGTGGGCTGGCCTTCCTTCGATTTTTTCTTTCCAGGTGCAAATTGGACTCCTTTTAGTTTCTGTCTATAGGAAACATTGGTACTATAACAGTATTAAGCACAACCATTTCCCGTTCGATCAAATTAATTATTACATTGGATTAACTCTCATGATTCTCATGTAATAGATCTTTCTCGGAGCACCCATCTTTCTATTAGCTATAGATCTGGTGAATTCTTCTTTTTTCCGGTGGTAATGCATGATCAGGTTTAAAATTTCCCTTAATCTGAATCTAAACACTGTTTCGTAAAAAGTTGAGGACATTCTCCTTTAGATGTTGTGAACAATCTCCTGGGCCTCTCTTCTTTGGATACGAAGGGCTCTTTCCTTTTGTTTGGTTTGTTTGGTTCTGGGATTAGGGGGAGGGAAGTATTGTTGTTTTCTGTGTTATTAATTTATCTTGACTTAATAGAATAGAAATAATTATATACTACGTACTACATATTAATTAAAAAATCCACTTCTCTTTTATTCTTATTTCAATGAATTTTTTGATAGTAATTATCACCCTTCCCATTCCCTCAGAAACATTTGAAATCAGAACTGCACCACAGCTATCCCTCTGTATTCCTTGACTAATGTATCATTGTTATCTAAATCTATCAAGTCTAGTTGATACTTGCTAAGAGAACAAAGAAATTGCGAGTGAGATGTGGTGTAAAGAGGCCGCAATGGATGCGGTGGTGGATACTGTTGGAGGGTGGCATCACTGTATGTAGCAGAAATGCCAAAGAAGACGCTGAAGAGTGACCTACTGATAGAAGAAATGAAAAAAAAAGAAATAGTAAAAGAGGACAGTCGGACAGAGAAATGTGTTTCCTAACTCAATGCTAAAGAATGTGATGGCGTAATGGTAAGAAAAAAGAAAAACTGAAGGAGATTAAAATAATTCTCCGTAATAATAAAATAAGGAATAAAGCAAAATGATTCACTAAACTGTCTGCGCTTCTTTGTTATGGAGCAGCGGTCAGTCCATGCAATTTTGGACGCGATTTTCACTATGGGTCATCCGGAAACAGTCTCTCTGTGCTTTAACACAGGGGTAAGACTGCGTACATCCGACCCCCCCTTACCCCACCGTAGGTGGGAGCCTTTGCGGCACTGGGGTAAATGAAAATGAAAAATGAAAATGATGAATAAAATAAGGAAGAGGGATGCGGTTCCAGGCTCAACACTTGGAGACTGGTTTTAATAGGTCAATTTTTCAGATAAGTTCCTTATGGGAAGGGATCCTAATACTAGAAATTCTGCGTTTTAAAAGATAATAAGAATTAATTTGATTGGAAGGGTAGTAATTGGGGTTAATAATACCAACCTTTCCCTATATGTGTTGGTTGTGTCTGCATCTTTCTTTGTTACATTCATATTTCTCATTTTTTCCGTTGTTTGCAAATTTTCAGTTCAACAAAGTCATGTCTAGATAGATATATGACATACTCTTTTTTTTTTTTAATATTACTTGGGGAAGTTTATTTAAGAGGGTCTAAGCGTGTAATATTGAATAGAACGAGTATTGTGGTAATGTTATTGTTTTGTTAGTTCTCTTAAATTATACAGTTGCATCAATTTTTTGAAATCCATAATTTGTCAGAAAATTAATTTTTCGCCATCATTTATCAACACGTACAATACAAGACTCCCAAGCTTATGGGCATATGGCAGCAATGTCTCAACTATTTTTGTAACTTTGTTTCTTTTTATCTCCCCATGAATAGCAATCCCTCTCTGAGGTTGTATGTTAGTGCATATAGATGTGGTAATCAAGTGCTAATAACTTATTTAATTGTACTTTTTCAAAAACACACTTATTTAATTGTACTAGTCTATGAAACATTGTACTCTGTTTGGATTCCTCTCATCTTCTTTGTGCTTTAAGGTGCTTTAGTACCTTTAGTACAGGGGTAAGGCTGCGTACATCCGACCCCCCTACCCCACCGTAGGTGGGAGCCTTTGTGGCACTGGGGTGATGATGATGATGATGATGATGATGATGATGTCTTTTCTGATCTCTTGAGCTTGATATTGGCATACCATCTAATAGTGCTTGAGTAAAAAAGTTAGCATAGCATCTTAATACAGACAATATGAGGTGCAAGTTAACCTAGTGTCATGGTACAGAGTAGTACAGACAATTAGTGCACTGGCATCTCATAATTGATACTAGCATACATGCGTTATTTATATGTGCACTATTAATTCATTGTTCATTTGGGATCGTAGGGAGTCGCTCCCCACATCCTGTCACATTACAAGTGATGGAAGTGAAAGTGAAGATTCAGGAAAACTCTGATGATGAATCTGAACGTGAGGCTAATGAAGACTGATCAACGTGTATATATAATCTGTCGATAGGGTAAGATCATTTCTTATACAATACCATCACGGCATCACACCATTCTGTATGAATACTGTTGCTTAAATGCTTAAAATGTCTATTTAGCAAGTAATTTTTTCCACATCTGCTTAGTCGTAAGTTTTACAAGAGAAACACATAAAGTGCCGGAAGAGTCACTTTTTGCTGGTTGTGTTGGATTTTACAGGCTTTGGGTGCGCGAAAGATATGGAACTGACAAGGGAGTACAAGTTTAGACTCTGTAGGAGCACAGATCAAAGTCGGATTGGACAAATCCAGCTTGACCTAGTGGATAGATGTACCATTATTCTTAGTGTGGACGAAGATGTAAATGAAATGTTTAAATAAATATATGCCATATCAATTTGGCAACTTGAAGCTATTAATGTTATTCTTAAAATGCTTGATACGTTAGACCAGATTACTGAATTAGAGCCTCTCTGGTCTGAGTTATTATTTCCACGCATGGCAAGTATATGAAAACTATATGTTCATAAATGAAAACACATCTTACATATACGAAAAATATTTATTTTTTAAATCACAACCACTTGTCCACTTATTTATTTAGTCATATCCTTTAGGAATAAATTCGGACCGTCTGTTTTGGCTCCTTCACATGGCTTCTACCTGCATAGAGCAATCTACCCTCCATCTCTCTGTTGCTGAGAAAAGTCAGCCGCCCGACAGGATCTCCGAAGATGAAGCTTGCTGGAACCGGCGATCGATGTCGAAAGCTGAGATGTAGATGAGAGGCCTCAAGACTGACAACGAGGGCTCACCTGCAGCTAACAAGGACTGACCTTCGAGGCCTGGCATCCCACATCAGATTGCCACCTATCTGTGGGCAATCGAGCTTCTTCCCACATGAGACTACGAACAAGGAGAAAATCACTACCTCCGAGTAAGAACACAAGGATAGATCTCAAAGGCCTCCTATATATATGTAGTATACTTTAAGCATTAAAAATATAGGTTTACTTAGATTTTAATAGATATTTCAATGATGATGGGGTTCATGAATTCTCCATACGAGTATGATAAAATTATCAAAACTGTCTTCAAGTCAAAAGCTAACATTTCAAAAGAAAATCAGACTAATCATCAAACAAGCCCATCCCGTATTTCTCTTCACTCTGTTCCTCTTTTTGTGGGAGGAAACTTCAAAAATAGGATCGCAAGAGGAAGAGGGGTTTAAGGACCCAAATAGAGGCTTTGAAAAGACGTCTTGCGTGGTTAAGGGGGAGGACTGACCAGAGGAGTAGCACCGAGTTTATACATGTCCGAGCATCGCTATAGACATTAATGGAAAAGGAGAATGTGTTCTGGCGGCAGAGGGCCAATGTTTTTTGGTTTCAAGGAGGGGATATGAATTCCCCATTTTTTTCATAACGCAGTGAAACAAAGGTGTTGGCGTAAAAAAATAATAGAAATTGCTTTAAATAGGACTAAAACTTGGACAAAATGCACAAATAGAACTACATTTATTTTATTAATGAAACAAGACTTATTTAATTCTATTAAAAGTATAAAATTTCTCCTATGAAGAGTGAATAGGTCCTAGTCTAGGAAGAAAATAATGACAGTCATATATGTGCACTTTGTTCATGTTTTAGTCATATATAAGGAATTTTCTCATAAAATAATGGGTTTAACTGATCCAAATGGTAATTGGGTTACCGGGAAAATAGAAATGGAGGGGATAGTGAGGAGTTATTTTGAGAATCTGTACTCGGCTAGTGCGGCAGTAGGTTGACAAGACGATATTGATGGATTTTCTTGGGTTTCTCAGCATAGAACACAGTAGGCTTCTTAGGCCGATTCAATTGGAGGAGGTTAAAGCGGCACTATTTGGCATGCATCCAGATAAAGCCTCGGGAGTTGATGGTATGGATCCTGCATTTTTTCAAGCTTATTGGGATATAATAGGGTCAGATGTCAGTCGGTTATGTTCAAATGTTTTTTATTCGGGTAGGTTGCCTAACGAATTAAATGTGACTAATATTGTTTTGATCCCAAAAAAAGATAAACCGATGAATATGGGTGACTGGAGACCAATTGCGTTGTGCAATGTCATTTATTAAGACTTTTTCAAAAGTGCTGGCCAATCGTTAGAAGGGTGTTTTGGAGTCTCTGGTTGGAGCAAATTAAAGTGCTTTTATACCGGGGAGATCAATTGATGACAATATCATGGTGGCTTTTGAAACCCAGTATTTTCTAAAGAGGAAGAGATATGGGAAAGAAGGTTTTGATGCCTTAAAGCTTGATATGAGCAAGGCGTATGATCGGGTGGATTGAAGTTTTATTAGTAAGATTATGCAGTGAATGGGTTTTGATATGAGGTGGATTCATATTGGAGTCCCTTCATATTATAATGGAATGTGTCTCAACATTTAAGTACTTTATTCAGTTTGATAGAGATTCTCTTGGGCCAATTACTCAGGCACGAGGGTTGCAACAAGGGGACACACTGTCTCCATATCTTGTTATTCAGGAGGCGGAGGGGCTGAGTGCATTGCCGAGACGGGAAGAAAGGAAAGTGGATGTTCATAGCGTCGGTGTATGTGAAGGAGCTCCACGGGTTTCCCATCTCCTTTTTGCTGACAATAGTTTTCTTTTTTTCAGAGCTACCAGATAGGAGTGTGATGCTATTAAACGAATTCTGGAAGAGTATGCTCTAATGTCAGGGCAAGAGGTAAATTTTAATAAATCCAGTGTTATGTTTAGTCCTACTGTGGAGGCTGCCAGTAAGGATTATTTTTTGCAATTCTTTGGGAGTGGTGTGTGACAATAATGCATCGTGGTATTTGGGATTACCGGCTTTGATAGGGAGAAATAAAAAATCAATATTGAAATACTTGAGGGAGCGAATTGTTAGTCGTATTAAAAGCTGGAATAATAGATATCTTTCTCGGGCTAGACAGGCAATTCTATTAAAAAATGTTATTCAAGCAATGCCTAATTGCCTACCTATGCAATGAATGTTTTTCTTCTTCCTCGAGGGCTTTGTGAGGAGATCGAGAAACTTATGAATGACTATTGGTAGAAAGGGACGAAATTTGACCAAAGAGGGCTAAGATGAAGAAGTTGGGGCAGCTTGTGCAGACCAAGAAATGCAGGAGGTTTGGATTTTAGGAGGATATAAGAGATTTTAATATTGCAATGCTAGCGAAGCAAGCTTGGAAGCTTACTACGGAATCAAAGAGTTTGGTGAACCGGGCTTTTAAAGCTCGGTATTTTCTGAACTCCTCTTTTTTAGAAGCTCAAATGGGTAGTAATCCATATGTATCGCGTAGTATAATGGAAGCTCAACAAGTGGTGAATGAGAATATTCGTAGAAGAGCCGAGAATGGGAAATATACTTAGGTATGGGCTCATGTGTGGCTTCCGGGCTCGGGCTCGGGACGAGTACAGTCCAGTAAACCTTCTGAGATATTTGATATGAATGTTGCAGCATTACGAGATGAGGAAGGAAAGCAGAGGAATGTGGGTGCAGGTGGAGTGCAAACTGTGTAGCGGTGAAGAGGAGTCGGCTGACCACATATTTCGTCTATTGCCTGAAGCACAGGCTGTTTGGCAGCTAGCAGGTGCTCATTTCAGTCCTCCAACGGATAGTTTTTGTTGGGAGTGTATTTCAACTCAGGTCTCTAACCTTAACAACTCTCACACACCACCCAGGACTGTTTAGCCACTCTACTCACCTTATTCAAGCTCAATCCCTCTTACATCCCAAGCTCTCACTCACAAAGAGGAAACTCTCTCAAAGGAATAAGAAGAAACTGGACACACTCTCTCACACACCTCACTTTGCTTATCTGCACTACACATTGTCTCACACAAGGAGGCCACAATTATAAGGAACCAAAAAGATACCTTCTGAATCAAAAAACCTCATTAATAGCTTAAGACAAAAACAATGACAGAGGACCAAGGGGCCAAGCTGACAAAATTGCAATGCAACGGATAGATAAGGTAGCTAAGGAGTAGAGATAAAAGATAATGGGAGTAGGGCTAAACTCAGGGTGCAAGCCTTAACATAATAAGTGGACAGAAGGCCTTTGTAGGACCAATACCTCCAACATTCTCTACCTTATTGGTCCTAGGTGGTGTAGAGTAACAAATACACGGTTGTGAGGAGACTCATCATCGCTGAACCATTACAAGTACATCATTCAAATAATACAAGTAATAGATGAGAACCAAAGTTTCCTTTGGGACCAAGCTTACCATGCAAACCCAATTCATAATGGACTGAACTCTACCAATCGGTCCTCGAGTTCAGAACCGAAATCATAACGAAACTATTAACAAACACAACGCATGTTAATAGACCACGCAAGCAAGCAACCGGGAGAAGTTGGGGATTCCAACTAATCGAACACCCACACAAAGCAAGTACACAGAAAATAAAAGAAACATATTATTTCTATAACTAAAACAGATGGAGCTCACATAATGAATAGGTATCACATTTTCAAGACACAAAGAAAATAGCATACCAAATATCACAAAGAATTTAATTAAAAGAGAATTAAGCACATTTAAAGCAAACTCAGAGGAAATATAGTCAAACACTTTGCACTTATTATTTCTCTCATGCTCCCTCATGTCTCTATCTCTAATAACATGGCAATCATGCAACTCAAGCATATTGCACATAACATTTATATCATGCTCCACCTTAACAGAAATATTATTTTCTTTATTTTCAACTTGAAAAACATTTTCATTCACAAATTTGAGTTCGGTTTCAACAAGTAAATCAGAATGAACTTCAATAGGCAAATGCTCCACCTCATTTGGAGCAACATCAAGAGAAACAAGCAGGCAAGGAAATTCATTTCAACAAAAATGACATTTCTACTTGACAACACATTGAAGCAAGCTTCGCTCCTACACCAAAGCCTATAACCTTTTATGCATTCATTATATCCTAAGAAAACAAATTCCTTAGTCTTAGGTTCAGATTCACCATTCTCATGATTCACATAAGTAGCACAACCAAAAACTCTCAAACTTGTCAAGGCAAGTGGTTCGCCCGTGAACACAAATTCAGGGCATTTTCCTCCTAAGGGAACAGACGGGGACATATTAATCAAATAAGCAACATAACAAATAGCTCTCCCAGAACTTTTTAGAGAGCCCAGATGATGTTAACATAGTCCTCACCCTCTCTAAAAGAGTTCTAACCATCCTCTCAGCAATCCCATCCGGTTGGGGTGTTGAGGGAACATATTTATGCATAGAAATACCCCAAGTATCACATAAATCACCAAGCTGGTCATCACAAAAATCAAAACTGACATTTGTCCTTAAACACATTATTTTCTTATCGGTTATGATTTTCAACAAGGGTTTTTCAGTTTTTAAACTTATTAAAAACATCAGATTTATTTTCAATCAACAAAACTCACACTTTCTTTGAAAAATCATCAATCAACGTCAAAAAATAATTTTTTCCACCATGAGCGGAAACACTATAAGGACCCCACAAATCAGCATGAATACAATCAAGCACATCGGTACACTTAGGCAGATTAGGAAAACTAACTCTAGACTGTTTTCACCCTGACAATTCACAGAATCAAGAACAGGTTCAGCATGACAAACATACAAGTTGTTTTTCATCTCAGCTTTTAAAACAACTAAACAACCCTTCACAACTTTCATGATTCCCTTTCCCATTTTCCCTTCAAACCATCATTTTCAAGAGAAGCACAAGATAACAAATTACAACACAGCTCAGGAACATGCCTAACATTCTTCAAAGTAAGCTTACAACCAGAAGAAAACCTAAGGCATACATCTCCTATTCCTAGCACATTACATTTCTTCTCATTTGCCAAAGACACAAAGTCATGCTCAATCTCTCTATAGTTTGAAAAAACATTTTTCAAGGGGGGCATATGAAAAGTACAACCAGAATCTACCACCCAATCTGATTTACCCAAAGAATCAGATATCACAGAACTCAAATAGTCATAATCACATAGATTTCTCATCATAAAAACATCTCCTAAATCATCTTCACAAGTAGTCAAATTAGCATGCTCACTATGCTTATTTTCCCTAGAGTTAGGACAATCTCTTATGAAATGACCAGATTCATAACAATAACAACAACACCTCGAATTAGATCTAGACTTAGATCTATGTCGTCTATTATTTTCTCAACCCCTCACATGCATAACCTCCTCGGATTTTCTACCCTCACCCATCTATTTTAAATCTAATTCCTTACTCTTAAGACCATTAACCACAATGTCAAGAGTCACATTATCTCTACCATACTTAATAGCAAATTTCACATCACTAAAAGAATCAGGAATAACATTTAAAAGAGCAATAGGGGAATATTCATCTATATGCTTATCACCACACAACTTAATATCAGAAATAAGTTTGGTAAAAACATCTAGGTTTTCCTCAATATCCTTAGACATATCCAGTCTAAATTTGAAGAACTTCTCAAGTAAAAACATCCGGCTAGGCAAAGAGGTTTTGGTATACAGTTCATCTAATTTATTCCACAGAATTTTAGCACTCTCTAAAATTCCAACTTTTCTAATCACAGAGTCAGATAAGTTCAAATAAATCACAGAACATGCATTTTCATTCATTTCAACTCTTTTATCATCCGTGTCAGAAATTAAATAGGTTTCACCAACTGCTTTAAAACATTTTTGTTGGATTAAAATACATTTAATTTTTCGCTTCCAAATGCTAAAATCAGATTTTCCATTAAATGGAGTCATACCATACTGATTATAAGCAGACATTTTCACAAAGAAAACAAGCAACAAATAAAAAATGTAAATTTCACTGAAAAACAATTTAAATATTTATAAGGCTACAAATATACGAAGCAACTAGCACGAACACACGATGAGTATTAATGAGCACCAAACTCAAGTTCAACCCCATTGTTCTTTCGTATAAGCACAAATAAATAATAAATTTTCAGCACAACAATTCAATCAATTTAGAAGCAGTAATAAACCTAAAACAAGATTTCTACACAATAAAAGACTAAATCGCTACGAAAGCGATAAAAGTGAGTTTCAAGTCAATATACCGGAGCGAGACCTTAGGAGAGGCGTTTCGATCTTACCCACCCAATTTAAAATTGGGATTTATGGCGTAGCCTGCTGTTGACCAGTGTTGACCGAGCTTTGACCGAGTTGACTGAGCAGTAGACCAAGTATTTCCTTTGCTCCACGTCCAGCCCCAAAGCTTCAAGGTCCTGTCTCCAGCGTTCACCAATCCAATTCCAGGTTTCAAGCAATTGTACCCATCCAGGCTTCAAGCTCCAGGTCCAATCCAGCCCAACAGTTTGGGCAGCCCAAAGTCCAGCAAACTCCAGCTTACGTGCTCTGCTTCCTGTCCACTCCAGCTTACAGCTCTACTTCGCTTCCGTCGGCTGCCCACTCCTTGCTCCGCCTCTCCTCCGGTCTCCTAGTCCACCGCTTCCCGACGCCCGTGGCTGCTCACTGCCTTCCCGCCCAGCTTCCCAGGACGCTGACCGGCGGCTGCCACTGCCCTAGGTAAGTTTTTTGATTTTTTTAATTAAAGTATGTAATCTTTTATATTCTAATATATCCATCAAATTCACCAAATATGTTGAATTTTTCGTGTTACTAATATTGTAATATAATTTTGTAAAGTGTGGAGTTATTGTGGATTTTTAATTAAGTTATTATGAATTGTGTGAATTTTGTAATTAGGGACTGTTAATTACTGAATTTCCTAGCATATTATTGTATTAATATGAATTATGTGATTGATAATATGTTGGATATATCTTTATTTTTTTTTCAATTTAAGTAGTTATGGGCCTTATGGCTATACAATTTACTTTTAAAAATGAAAACAACATTGCATTAGTTTTAGGCATAATACAAGTAAAGAAAAATGATGACAGTTCAATGACTTGATTGATTCTCCAAATATTTCTACGATTCAAGAGTTCTTTGTTTTTAATGGGGTTGAAAATGAGTGGGATGCAGGCAGGGGCGGAGCCAAGGGGGGTCAGGGGGGTCATCCAACCCTGCTTAAAGTTTGAGAGTATAGAGCTCTGAAATATCTTCTGTTTGATATATTATGGCCCCTGTAACTCATTACGAGTAAAAAGTTATGACTTCTGGAAAATAAACACTATCTAAACGTAAAATAAGCAAAATTTGATGCATACTATAGATTATACTCCCAAATTTTAAAAATATGGTATAATTCACTCAATACTTACGTGACACGACTCAGAAACAGAGCAAAGAAAATCTATCTTATTGCTGCGAGTGCCTATTTATCTAAACTGCATATGAAATATTCAACTCGGACATTGTTTAAAAATGATCCACCATTTTCATTTTGTATATAGGTTGAGTTTCGACCCTCCTGAGCCGTTTTTCTGACTCCACCACCGGATGCAGGAAAACAGATAAAATAATTTATAATTCACTGGCCGTTAGACAAAAGGGATGGAAATAGAAAAACCAATATTTTTTACTCAATTTTTTTTTTAAATATGATTTTTTGTTTAGAACTGTCCCCCCTGAATATCAATTCTGGACATGCCCCTGGGGTAACCTACTGTGTTTTGGTAGTCTTACTGAATTATTCAACCAAATCCATATACATTTACACTCTTGTCTCGCTTTAATGTTTTTCTGAACTATTTAACATCATTTTGGAAAACACTGATGAAGCGTTGAACCTAGTCATTAGTTGTTCGAAACAGCTGAGTTAATGTGTGGGCCGCAAGTGTTGAAGTCTTTCTTTCCTGTCTCAGAATTGTCTTGAAAGATATAGAAATGTTACGAGAACTGGTGAGAGAAAAAATGTGGGGATATATAAAGATCTCAGATATCAGATATCATTTTAGGACGGAGGTTGTAGCTAACATATGTCTCAGGTCTTAGATCAAAATTTTGCGCTAAAAGTCTAATTTCCATGCTTAGAGAGTTCTAGCTTGTAGTCACTGTTCCTAAATTGTTAATTTCATGCTATGGATTTTAGCGGTTTCCCCTTTGGTCTCAATGAGACAAGTTTCAACAGATTTTTTTCGGGGTCTGTTTTTTAGAAATTAAACAAGCCAAAGCCCCGTGTTGTTAGAAGTTTGACTACTTTATCTTTATAGGCTAAATTGTACTTGCATAAAGTTATTATGAAACTTTTTAGGGGAAAGGTCATTGTTGAGGTTTTTATTTGATTACTCATTACTAACAAGTTGATTTCTGTAGTGTTGCATTCTTGTTTTTTAAGCCAACTATTTAACAATAAGTATTGCTAATAATATTTGGTTAAGTTGAGTCATGTATATGGTTGTTTTCACTGAACATTTTTATATGTCATGCTCTATGCATGTTATGCATACTTATACTACCTCTATTTTTTTTTAGTTGCAATGGTTTTACTTTTGCTGCTTTGACCGCATTTTATTTATTAGGAAAAGTCCATATTAACGATCCAACTTATCAGTATTCTTCCCATATTAATCTTGTCCAATTATAGGGGCATATTCTCAAAACAAGCTGGTGACCTGCAAAAATTGATTCAACATGTCACCTGACCACGTGTTTTGTTCCGATTGGTTAAAACGATTTTCTTAATATTTCTTTTTTGATTTTTTTTATTACTTTTCCATTGTTTCCTTTTCCCCTTTTTCTTCGACCTTATGCTACTACTTCACAGTCAAGGATTACGCATGAGCAATACCCCATATTCAACATTCGAAACCTAGTCAGGTATTTTTTGTCACGGTTTCGTTGTAATGCCATCATCTATACAACAATTGGGTCATTCCTGCAAGGTGCTCTAAGAAATGCTACTTAGGAATCCTCTCAATTTTTTCATGCTTAGATTTCTATAAATCATAATGCTCTTTTTGATGTCTTTGTTTGTTCGTCCTAAATCTTTCTCAATTTGGCCCTTTCGTAATTTAAGCATACACAAATCTCAATTATTCCCTTTTTTATTGAAAGCTTTAGTTGATTAGTTGATTACAGAAAATTGTGTATATGATTCCTATTCTCAATTGATTTGCGATATTTATTAGTTTACTCTGAAAAGAACAACCCTATATCTGTTTTTGTTTGTTTCTTTGTTTTATAGATGGCATTTTAAACTTACTGATCTTTCGAGCTTCAATTAAATCTTCTAGGCGTAAAACAGGAAAAGAAGTGCATGTTGTTGAATGATACCCATTGCGAGTTTGCGACTAGGGTCTCAGACCCAATGCTTGAAAGCAGAAGGGACAACTGTAGCTTTCACCTCTTTTTTTTTACTGGATTAGCAAGTGTGTCAGGTCACCTGGGATTGATCGGGGTAGATTAGCCATAAATTTAGATTATTTTAATATTATGCATATTTCATGTTAATATAGGAAGACCGCTGACCGCTAATAGTTGAGATTATTTGTGTGAATTTTTCCTAATCATTAATGTATTAGAAATCATATTATGAAAGACATTGTTAAATTTTTCTCAATGTAAAATTTTAAAATATGACCTTTTGAATAATTTTTATAATATTCAATTAAATTACTTAATGATCAAAGTAGTGTGATGAAAAACATGAAAGTCAAAATGTTCCAAGTAGATAAAAATGGAGGCAGTATATTTTATAATGGAAATCAGGTTAGATGACCATATCAATCAATTCAACCAATTGAACCATTGTTTTTTATACACTGGTCCAGCCGCTTGAACAGTCTATTGCTTCTGTAGAGTGCAAAACACACCTAGTAACTATTTATGATACTTCTGGCTTTCTTCATATGTTATCTCCTTTGTTGTGTCGATCGCTGCTTGCTTCTTTAAGATTGATTTTTCTGAGTTCTGACATGTGAAAATAATATGAACCGGATTTGTTTCTTTCAGAATGGAAATTCAAAATGATGAACCAATGCATGAGTGCGGCCAAAAGATCTTGGAGATCTTCTCAGAATTTATGACAAGGTTAAATTTTTTAAAATAAATTGTAACCAACGAAAGCAGCTTTAGAATGTGATATTGTGCTTGAAATAGTAAAATTTTTATGCTTTCCCCAAAAAAGTCATTTAATGTCATCCTCACATCCTCCCATTTATCAACCTACACATATAAATATGAAGAAATGGTGTATATATTTTTCCCATGTCTAACTACTATAATTTCAGGATTGTAAAAATCGAGGAACTAGCATCCGTAGGAAACAGAATGCTAGTTGGCTTCCAGCAAGGACTTGGTAAGCCCCATGATTCCATTTGAGTATTGGATAAATGAACTTTCGGTATCACCTTTTTTTGTTTTACTCCTGCATGTCTGTGTCGTGCAGAGTATGTTCGAAGGCCTCAGATTGAAGAGAAATCTGAGCTGGTTGAGTTCATTCTTAAAGCTAATCAAACCAAGAGACTGGTATCCTATATTGAAGCTGGATGCAAGAACACCAATGATAGTATTAATAGTATAAACAAGTGTAAGGACATGTTAACTTTGCCTGAAAAATGTGATCTGATCTAAAAAAAAAATATGTGTGGTATGATGTGGTTTGATCCTTTTGTCAGGTAGTCTGATCTGATTGGAATGCTTTTTGACTTGTCGAATTTTCTTCTCTGAAATATAACATTTGGATCTCATTTGGTATCTAGTTTGGTCTAATACGAATCTTTCCAGTATGGTCTGACTGAATGTTTCTAGTTTGGGTTGCTTAAAATAAGAATATGCAATAAGGAAAAAAGATAGTTAAGAGAACACCACCTAATTATCACGATTCATGTGTTCATATATTTTATGTAGAGCATGCATATATAGCCTTTTATTCTCCATTATATATGAATAGGAGTACATACTTTTTTCCCCTTTTATTAGTGTACCTTAAAAGTTATAACTTAAGCCCAATACACGTGAGGTTCTCAGAGGCTCTTGCTATCTTATGATGGACTTTTGCAGCTTGAATAACATTAAATCCATCAGTTGTATGGAAAAAGTTTAGGTTCCAATGTTTCATCTTTTGTTAGTGCAGTACCCCCCTCGCCTCAAAGATGATGTCCTACGTTCCATTTTTACTGTCCCATTTCCTAAAATGGTTAAAACTGATCAGACCAAATTCAAGATGTTTTTTCTAAATAAACGCTAACAAAACGTGTGGACTAAAATAAAGATGCTTTTGTTAATATATTTTCCTAAAATCATGTTTGGGACATTATCTTTGGCATGGAAGGAGTACATGTTACTTTAACATTTCTAATTTCCCTTGACACAGAAAGAATTGTTATACAATGCACATGTAAAACACAACATATTTCATGGAGCAATTTTGAGTTTTACATTAGCTCATTAACTGGTGTTGCTGGACATTTTGCCAACACCTTTCCCATTTGCTAGAGGGGGTGTTTTCTGTAAGGGTCTGTTTGGATGGAGGGTTTTGGAGGACGGGCTACAGTGAAGTTATTCTATATCTTAATGTATATTTGGGATTTTATATGAATTAAATATTAATCATATGTGATGGTATAATTCTCTAATCACATGTTATTCTTTTTCTTACATCTATTATGAAAATGTATGCTTAACCCTCCAAAATACTCTATCCAAACTGATCGTAAGTTTCAATCTTCATGACCTTCTGTCTTGTGGTTGCAGAAGTGCATGTGTGCCTCCAAGGACTCCAAGATCTTAAGATGCAAGGTACTGCGCACCCTGCAAAAACATCAAATCTTAGACTAATGTATTAACATTTACACATTTTTTAAGAACTATTTTCAGTTTCTTAACAGTATAGTGGTTCTCATATTCATTTTTAAATTGATATTGTAAACCTGAGCACCTACTTAGTTTTATCAAATATGTAGGAATATGCGGTTTTCATTCATAGGTTCAGATCCCTGCCTACTGTTCTATTTTATTCAGATCCCTGCCTACTGTTCTATTTTAATACTCTATATGTATTATATAAACACATTTAGTGTTTCTCATATTATTTTTTAAATTGATATTGTAAATCTGAGCACCTACTTAGTTATATCAAATATTTAGGAATATGTGGTTTTCATTCACAGGATCAGATCCCTACCTACTGTTCTATTTTATATGTGTCATATAAACACAAGGTATAAAACAATAACCGGTGCTTCTCCTTTTGTGATTATCACCTTGACTAAATTTTTGTTAGTTAATTGGAGTAATTTTTAGCCTTTTTTATTCTATATTTTTTATGCATAAACTATCTCCTTTTATATTATCTTTTTTATCATAACTTATCCTTTTTATTTTTCTTATCTTATCTTTACTTTTGATTCCGATGTCATGTACCGATTCATGTTAGCCGACCCCAAAATCTTTTGGGAATAAAGCTTGGCTGCTGTTGTTGTAATAATTGGAGTAATTTGATAATTATTAGGTTATAGTGTATGAACCGCAAGTTATTGTGGCATGATTTATTGCAGCAAAATACTTGATGGATGAACTGGATTGCCTTCTGAATGATGCGGAAGCTGTAGTGCGAAGTGCAAATTATAGTCTGCCTTGCACTACAATTGATCAAGATATTAACCGCAGTTTGGATTTTAAAGCAGATTTTTTGGAGGTGAGCCTGTTTGCCTTGATCTAATTTTATTCCGTACTTTTCCTTTTATGTCTCGAAATATGTGGTTTGGTGTAGACGTGTCCACGATTCCAAATTCGAACCGGCAGTTTCCGTCTGCAAATATCTGGCAAGCGGAACTATAACCCCATTGTACCGGTTTCAAAACCGGGCTTCCGGTTAATTGGTTTCTTCTTTATGGATTTAATGACTTCGTTATTAACTGGATAAGTAATAATGGATAATCTATTAAGATTATTAAATTTAAAGGTTCCCAAATAAATAAAATGAAATTATATTTACAATTGTCAAGTTATATTCTTAGAAGTTTCCATTCATAAACAGAGAATTTATAAACTAGGTAAAATAGTTATACAAATAACTTAATAAGAATAATACTAATAGTATAAATAAAAGATAAATGAGTGCATTGCATATACATTCATCTATGTTTACTACCTCATCATCATAGCTATTATTATCATTAATATCATTATTAGTATTACCATCATCATACTTATTATTTTACAAAAAAGCTCAGTTCTGAACTCGCACCAATTCAATCGTTCTGGAAGCCGAACCACCTTAGTAGAATGACTTTAGGTCACTTCTATGCAGATCCAGTTTCAAAATTGATGGTTCTGAGGTTAAGTGTTTGACTTGAAATTTTTATTGTACCACGTGGTCATGCCTTTTGTCCGGTGATTTTGTGTTATGTGCTGTATTAAGTTGAAGATTAAATTAAACATCCACTTTGTTAAACGATGATGTACAGGAGGAGGTGGCTTCCAGTGTTCTGAAGTCTGAAGTCGTTGACATTGCTATGATGATGGCTGTAGTATGCAGTATGATTAAGAAAGACTATGTGATGCAGGTAAAATGACTACTACTTTATCCACAATGGCCTCTATATTGTTTTTATTGTAACATTCTTCTTCCAGGAAAAGATCATTTCATCTCTAAACCTCAAGTCGTCTACTGGAGAGCTGGACACCTACTGTTTAATGTGGTCACTGCGTCCTTATGTAGATGATGAGATCATGGCGAAAGCGTGGAAACTTGTCCATTGACCGTTGTGAACTTTATATTGCGTTACTATACAAATGAAACATTTAGTGTTTTCTTGGCTATTTATTTCTTCAACACCGAATCTCTTGTATTTCACTGGCCTTGTAACTTTCATCCTAATTTGAAAGGCATTTTTCTACTTTTTTGTTAGCAAATGTATTGTCTGGCCTTGCTTATTTGCATCACTTGCAGCATTGGGTAATATATACTATCGTATATACAACCAAAAACAAATGATGCTTTGTGAAAAAATGTAGACGTTTCAGATTGTTGATGGAAGACTCGGAGGAAAAAAGCGCATCATTCTCGATTGTTTTTTTTTCACTTTTGAGAGACTATTTATATAGACTACTTGCTAGATCACATTGCAAGCTGTATGAGGCAGTAATACCTATCAAATTTTAATGTTCTCCATTAGTCACAAAATTTTCTGCGTGTCTGATTTGATACAAGCTGCAGCTGTAGACTTGTAGGTTATACGAAGTATAAAAATGAGAAAATGATATCAAGTTATCAACAACCAATCTCATTTTTTTAAAATGAGAAGACAAGAAAATTTTATGAGCAAAAAAGAAAATGGAAAGAACCTTTTGGAACAGATGTAGTATAAAAGAACACATGGATAGCAATAAAATATTACCACCTAAATAAATCATTTATCTGTAGAGCATGTGGGGATGCATTACAAAAGGCTAGAAAATGGATAGCAATAAAATATTACCACCTAAATAAATCATTTATCTGTAGAGCATGTGGGGATGCATTACAAAAGGCTAGAAAATGTGATAACCCCTGGTCCCTGGCTGACTGTTATGAAGCATCATACTACGTATATACTAAGTTTCTTCATAGTTCATATTCTTCATTTCCAAAGACTAAGTTTCTTCATATGTGATAACCCCTGGTCCCTGGCTGCCGTTGCATCATACTACGTATATACTAAGTTTCTTCATATTCTTCATTTCCAAAGACTCTTGTTGCTTATCAGCAACGGCAGTCAATTCTCTGGTGGAGCCATTAGGTTTGTGGTTCAAAGGTCAGTTGATATCGTTGGAGCAGATTTTTCTGGGGGTTCGGGATTTAATTTAGTGTCTCGTTTTTCCTTAACCCCAACCAGTGGTGCTTTAGATGGATGTGGCTCCTTTACAAAGGGCTGTATTTCTGGGAGAGAAGGGTACACTGGCACAACACCTTGTCTAACATACATATATGGTGGCTGAGAAGGTGGTCGGCGTGGTGGTGCAGAAAAAACTGGGATCGCACTCCTTACAGTCACAGGAGGCGCAATTCTATGATGCAGTGGTGTCAAATGCCGGACAGGGATGTAAGGTGGGGCACCGACAGAAAAAGATTGTACTGGTTGGATAATAATTGGTGATGGTGGATTCAAAGGTGGTCTAGTTTGGACCAGGGGTTTTATACCGAGATGTGTTCTTGGGCGGATTAGGGGTAGTATCTTTGATGATGTAGCAGCCAGAGGTTGTTGTTGTGTACTTGTTGATGGCCTTGAGGGATTTGAGGTGCTCTGGTAACTGATTGGAAATGGCAATCCAGCTACTCTAGATCTAATCAGATATATTTGGAAAGCCCGTGCTACAGTAACATGCTCTTGTTCTTCTATCCTTATTCCCCCCTTATCAGGTGAATTCAATTTTGAGTTCTCTGACTGCTGCTGTTCCACTGGATCCGCCCACAAAACAAAAAAGGCCTTCATATATTAAAAAAAAGTGGCCAACAAATATTTACTCCTTAAAAAAGAATAGATAATTATTAACAACTCTTAAATAAAAATACTCAGTACATACCTTAGTACATACTGATTTTACAAGTACTAGTATATTATATTAAAAAATTATTACTGTATGTATGATTTACTTTAACATGTACGTAGTATTATAAATAAAATGATAGAAAGTACAAGGATTGGGAAATACTTCGTATTACAATAGTCACCACAAAATAGTTTTAAAATTTTATTATTAATTTCGTTATATTAGAGGTAGTTATTTTCAAATTCATATGAAAAACTAATTTTTTGTCCTACTGCTATTAAGGGTATGTTTGCAAAAAATTAAAAAAAAATGATTTTCAGCTTTTGGCTTAAAAAAAGCTGAAAATGGTGTTTTCCGGTGACAATTTCTACTTAAATTAAACTCTTAAAAGCTAAAATCTAGAATCTGCTTTTTACTTTTTCTATTACACAAAAAAACACATATCTTGCCAAACACTACCAACTTTTACTTTTCAAAACCATTTTTTTCTCAAACAATACCAACTTTTACTATTAATCAATTTTTCCAAAAATACTTTAAAAAGTGTTTTTTTGAAGCAAAAGCATTTGCAAACACTCTCTAAGTCCTTTTCATTTCATTATTGGTTCCTAGTTTTCAATGTTGTAACTTTTAGTGCACACAAGTACAGTTTTTTTGTCTATTTTTATTCTTCCAATCACTTCTTTTGCCAATTTTGAGTTGTTTCTATAAGAAACGTAACTGAAAAGGCCAAATGTAGCAAAAAATACACTGTGGTGCACCAAAAGTGGAAAAGTTGAAAGATGGAGACCAATAGTGCGATGACATGATTGTCATGGGCTCATGGAAGTAAAAAGTGGAAAATATTCTACTCCCACCATGCTAGGATTGCCCCATTTTTCTATTTTTGTCCGTCCAATAAGATTGTGTTATACCAAACACATCTTGTTCTAAATTTGGTAGTATAAATGTTCGTGTTACCGTGTAGTTCTAAATGGTTCTTACTTTACTCTTACATTGTGAGTTCAATACCAATCACACAAACTCTTACATTGTGAGTTCAATACCAATCACACAAACTCATTTTTCTTAATTACGGGACCACCTCCTCATGTACCAAACTTAGGAGGACATGGGTAGTATAAATTTGATGATTTATGTTTTATTGGGGAACAAGAATGTGAGATATCTAGAGATGGATTTGGATATCACTTACATAATTTTAGGGATGACCAAGCTGACATGGCTGCATTCTTTTCAGCCTGTTTCTTATTTTTGGCTGGTTCACCCGTAAAGGTAACCCCTGCCAACACCACTGTACATCTGAAGAGAGGTAGATGTCCTTTTAGACCTGATCTGTATGTTGTGTATGCAGGCAATGGCGCTGCCACCCTTTGAGAAACTTCTTGCAAGAGATTTTTGTATACACCTGTTTCATCCTGCAATTTTTTTTAAACTACAGAGTTTCAGCGCACACACGGGATAAATCATACGGAGTAACAATTTACAAGAGTGGATCCTTAAAGAAAGATTTTAAATCATTATGTTGACGGATTAGACCAAAGAAACACACCAAGTATTTTGAATTAGATAGCGTTGTTCCACTACACATGGGTCCTTTTGGACCAAATTATGTAACTAGACTTTGGGGAATGGGGAGCACATTTTGTCCTATCCGCAACAAGAATATTACTCAATCCTAAATCCTAATAAAATCAATTAGCTGCAAGAAAGAGAAGTGAGGATAATTTGCTAGTCCATTGACTTCAAATGGTTTAGAACCATCATTTCTTTAAAGATCTAAGATACTATGAACAAGAGCTATATCATTAGCTTAAATCTATATTCGGTGATCCCTCACACTCAAGTGGTGGTACAGAGTGAACCAAAATTGCAGCTTCAAAATTCAAATGGGGACCTGGTGAGTGAACATTTTCAAATTTTCTCTCGCATCTCTCTAGGACACATGCCATTGAAAGCATTTATGACCAAAAGTCGAATAAAAAATGCAAATTAAAGAAAAAAACTACAAAAAAGTCAACTATTTAATAAGAGGAGCAACAGAAGACAGTCGTAGCTGAAACATGATATAAACCCTAACTCACCAGGACCTTCGCAGCAAGTGATTGGGAAGGACCACCGTTGGCTAGAGCATGGAGCGCAACCTCGGCAGCAGAGTGCTCAGCCTGGCGAAGCGTGGAGCAGTAGTTAGGGCTCTCGAACGTGTCGCCATTGAAGTTGACGGTAGCCTTGAACCGCGGCGCGTGGTCAGGACCTTCTCTGATACAGGAATACGACGGCAAGTTGAAGCAGCTCCTCTGCGCCAGCTCTTGCAGCTGGTTCTTATACATTTCCTCGACCAACCTAAAGCCCTCAGACCTCCGGAAGCCAGAAATCGAACTGAAGAAATAGCTCAAATCACCGCGTCTCCGATATCAGCTCGAAAAAGAATGATCGGAGTATTTCTAGACAGAGAAAGCATCATCGAACCAATAATGATCGGTATACAGAATGAGTGAGAGCTTCTTAGAAGAGATGCAAGAGCGAGAGGGGTTTTGCCAGAGAGAAACAACAAAGGGGTAGTCTATAAGCTCAGACGCATTTTATTTTAAATTTAAATATTAGGTTGTACTCCATACTTCCTGAAAAAACAGGGTCTATGCATTTATAATTAATTTTAAATTTAATAAAAGCAATGTCTGTGCATAGGCATTTCATTTTTTGAGAGTCACAAATATTTTCTTTTACAAAAGTTAAAATCAATTGTGTGTACACAAATAATTACACTTGGATATTGAATGAGAAATTCAGCTTTGAATGAACAAAAATGCAACTGGTTTAAAATTTGTGGAAAATAATTTAATTTTCTAAAACTTTATAGGTTTTAGCTAAATACTTCAATATAAATATAAAGATTTTATATATTGAATGCTACCTTGACATCGTAAATTTCAGTTGCAGATTAAATTAGAACATATTGGATCATGTATTTACATAAGTTTATGTTTTTTGAATATATAATATAAGTTCATAGTGTTGAAATTAGGGTTGAGTGCCTGAGTGTGTGATGGTATGTGACAATTGTTTAAAAAACATATCCCCTCCTGATGGAGTATATGGCCCGGGAACCCCCGGCCCACAGACTCCTACTACTCCAGTAAAGGCCCAACAGGCTCAAAATATGGCGCCCGGAGTGCCAAGCAGCCCACAGCGCACCAGGGGTGCCTTCGACCCCCTGGCCGAAGGCTCTAGACTCTCACAGAACGGGTTTCTCAAGCAAACTAAGAAACTGGGAGAAAACGGCGAAAACAGTAGCCCTCGGCACCAGGGTGCCATCGGTTTGAGGAGCCCTCGGCTGCTGCTCTATAGCCGAAGGCACCTCACTCGACAAGATCTCCTCTTCACGCGCGTACAGATCACCGTACCCTGTACAACGTCCCATCCAACAGCCGCATTAAATGCGGCCACATGCGGTTGCCAGCGCCAACCAGATGAGGTGACCTCTCGGCCAATGGATGCTTGACACGTGTCCCTGTCCGGCATTTATTGCTACTATAAATAGCACCCTCTTTTCCCCATTGTAAACCACGACATTCATACTGAATACACTCTCTCTCTTACTTACTTGTGCTCTGACTTCTCTCTAAGTTATTCTCAGCAATAACCCCTCGGATACATACCCCCCGGGTAGACTATCCATCATTTGGTGCTCTCGTTGAGAGGTCGAACAATCAAGTAAGAAACCCTCCCCCTCGACCAAACACAAAACACCTAGCTAAAATGGTGAGAACAACTCGTGCCAACTCCAAAAACGTGGAAGACAAGAACCTGGCCCTCGGCGACGTCAACGCCCCCGAAGCCTCTCACAGGGCTCCCGAGGGCGGTGTCATCGCTGGGTTGGAACAGGCGGCTGTCGACCTGCGCCTTCAGATCCAACAGAATGCCCCCGATGCCCGCCTCGGCATCGAGGCCAAGAAGAAAAACCGGAGCGACGACCAAGTCAGCCCTCCGGTTCTCACCATCGACGTTCAATCGGCGCTCTCCACCTTCATCCAGACGCTCACTCAGAACCCAGGTGCCTTCGGCACCCTGGCTCCGGCTCAACCCCAGGTTGGGGAGAACATCGTACTTCCCCCTCTGCCACACCCCTTCGGAAACTCCATCCCTCGGGTAAGGAATGACGAAGGGGTAGTGGCCCAAGATATGGCCTCCCAGGAAGTTCAGTCCCGGGACCGTCACAATGACAACAGAGAAAGGCCCCGCACTTCCGCCCTCAACCGGCTCGGAGGAGGGCCAGACCGTCGAGGGGTCCAAGACCGCCTCGGAGGGAAAGCACTCCAAAGGCCCCAGGAAAGCGGAGGGTCTGTCTCGAGGGCGGACGAGGAGCGTCCCCCTCGGGACAAAGGCAAGGCACCCCTTCATGCCGATGATGCTCGCCACCAGATCAACCAGGCCCACTCGGCCCGGGTTCGTTCGCAGGGGGCGGAGACCCTCCCGAAGGATCCCCGGAACGAGATTATTGCGGCCCTCCAACGCCGGCTTGACGAAATGGAGTCCAACAAAGCTCACGCCACCACCTCTACCCCTCATTCAGATCTCAAATACGAGGCCATGATGGCTAAAATGGAGGAACTACAGAAGAAGGTGGCCGAGGGCTCCGGGGAACCCGTCATCCAGCTCCGGACCCGGACGCCATTTACCCCAAGGGTACTAGCGGCCCGGATCCCGGAAAAATACCGAGGGCAACACATACAGCCCTACAACGGAAAGACGGACCCCCAGGAACACTACAACAAATATCAGAACAGCATGATGATGGTAGGGGCGTCGGACGAATATTTGTGTCGTTGGTTCCTCTCCACTCTAGAGGGGCCGGCACACGAATGGTTCAACCGTTTGCCCGAGGGCTGCATTGATTCGTGGCAAGAACTCGCCCAGCGATTCTTGACGCAATTTGCCAGGAGACGACGCACGAGAAAGCACTTCTCCCACCTCCTAACCATACGTCAGAGGAGGGATGAGACCCTTCGGGACTTCCTGGAGCGCTGGAGGACGGAAGCCGACAAAGTCGACGGTGCTGATGACGGGACCCTCCTGGCCCTCCTACAAACCATCCTCCGCACCGGCAACTTTTCAAGGAGCCTCATCATTGAACCCCCCCGCGACTACATAAGGGCTTTGCAGCGGGGGGACCGATATGCTGAGGCCGAGGAGGTGGAGAAATACCACCAGCATCTGAATCAGCAGCCCCCGAGGGCTGACAACAAGAACAACCGAGGGTCGGGGGCTCCTCCAAATCACCCCAAGTGTTCGGGACCCTCTGATGATCGCCCTCGGCAAGGCCAAGCCAAGCCCGGGGGAGGTTATAAGAACAACCCTAAGACTTGGGCACACCCCATTCTCCTGGTCCGCCCCCGGACACCATTGACGCACCCCGTCAGCATCATCCTTGATTTTGCCGAGGAGAGGGGCCTCGTTGAGCGCGATTCTCGCGCGCCCCCGGAGGTACATGCTATCAACCCTCAGTTTCCCTACTGTCGTTTCCATCGGCATCAGGGGCACAGGACCGATGACTGCCACCAGCTAAAAACGGCCATCGAGAGATTGATACAAGCGGGGCACCTGTCCCAATTTGTTCAGAGCCCTCGGCAGGAGGGACCTTCTCATCAGGGACCTCCCCGAGGGCATCACACGAAGGTGAACGCTTAGGTGAACCCGAACACCATCCCCCTCGGCAAGAAGAGGGAGATCGGAAACTTGGAGGAGGAAGAGGAGGAGTACCCCCACTACCAGGAGAAAAAACGCCACATCCTCATGATCATCGGCGGCAATACAGGGGGCGATTCCACCAGCCAGCGGAAGAAGTGGGCTCAATCGCTTTACGTGGGGGAAGTCACTCATATGCCCCCGGTAAAGAGACTGAGGGAGGAACCCATCACCTTCACCAACGCAGATTTCCCTCCTACTTCTTCTCCTCACAGGGATGCCTTGGTGATTCGGACTGAAATAAACGACATCATCATTCACCGAACTTACATTGACACGGGCAGCTCCGTCAATGTAATGTACCTCAGCACCTTCAGAGAGCTGCATCTGGAGAGGGGGTCCCTTCGGCCCATTAAGACCCCTCTTGCCGGCTTCACCGGCGATACTATTGATTCCGAGGGGGTAATAACCCTCCCGGTGATCTTCGGCGACGGGTTCCATAGAGCCCAGCTCGAAGTGGAGTTCGTCGTCGTCAACATCGACTGCGCCCACAACATCATCCTCGGCCGGCCAGCCCTCGAGGACCTCGAGGCCATCATCTCCATGAGGCACCTCTGCCTCAAATTTCCCGCCGAGGGGGGCATTGGCTACTCCCGGGGGAATCAGAAAATCGCCCGCGCCTGCTATCTTCAAGTCACCAAGAAGGTAAGTAAGACGGAATTCCGTATTGACACCATCACCGGAACCATCGACCAAGAAGAAAAGAGGCCAAGGGCTGAACCAGCCGAGGACGTAGAAGACTTTACACTCGATCCGGCCAAGCCGGAGAGAGTCGTGAAGATTGGAGCCCAGCTCCCTGAAGATCTGAAGACCGGTATCACTAACGCCCTCCGCGCCTACTCCACTGTCTTTGCATGGGGGCCGGAGGACATGCCGGGAATCAGCCGAAGGGTCATCACCCACCGCCTCTCGGTGGACCCCTCGGCAAAAGCAGTACAACAACGAAGAAGACCCCTCTCGGCCGAGAGAAGGGAATTTGTGAAGAAGGAGGTCGCCATGCTCCTCTCTATTAAGCACATCAAGGAGGTGAAATATCCCTCATGGCTGGCCAACGTAGTCCTCGCACAGAAGCCCCCTACCTTCCGCATGTGCGTGGACTACACCGATCTCAACAAGGCGTGCCCTATGGATCCATTCCCTCTACCAAATATTGATCAACTGGTGGATGAGACCGCAGGGTGTGAGATCATGTCCTTCCTCGATGCCTTCCGAGGGTATCACCAAATTTTCATGCACGAGGAAGACGCCGAAAAAACTGCCTTCATGACTCCCGAGGGCATCTTCTGCTACCTGGTAATGGCCTTCGGCCTAAAGAACTCGGGGGCCACCTACACCCGGATGGTGGCCCGGGTCTTTCGAGCCTTCCTAGGGCGCACCATGGAGGCCTATGTTGACGACATGATCGTCAAGAGCAAACAATCTTCCAGCCATGCCGACGACCTCCGGGAAATCTTCGCCATCATGCAAAAATTCAACCTTCGGCTAAACCCGAAGAAGTGCACCTTCGGCGTCCAAGGGGGCAAAATCTTGGGCTACATGGTGAGCCGAAGGGGTATTGAGGCCAATCCCGAGAAGATCCAGGCCATCATCGACATGGAACCCCCACGCAATGTGAAGGAAGTTCAACGGTTGACGGGCCGCCTGGCAGCCCTCAACCGCTTTCTATCTAAATCAGTGGAGAAGTCTTTACCCTTCTTCCAAATCATGAGGAAGACGGCTGGTTTTCAATGGACTTCAGAATGCCAGGAGGCTTTCGACGAGCTCAAATGATATCTATCTTCACCTCATGTGCTCTCCAAACCCAAGGTAGGGGAGACCCTCTACCTCTACCTTGGGGTCAGCCCGGCGGCCATCAGCTCTGTGCTC